CTATAATGTGATATTAGAGACGGGGCCCAGCTTAGTGTTAACCCGGAACAAGCCATTTTACCCATATTCCCCTACGGTCCAGGGCGCCATTTTAGAACATGGATGTAAACAAACCTCGTGTATCGATATACACTGTGATTCTTGATTACGATAAGCTTACCTCGTGTATCGATACATTGTTCTCATTCACCTCCACCACGGAAATGCCGGCCGAAGTTCCTCTCAGCCATCCACAACGCGGAAGTCAACAGTATTTGGAAAGGCGATTGGCATTGCCAGGTACGTAGCAGGGCTTCGAGGCCTTATGATTTCTGTGCAGAGATCTTATGGAACGGATTGATGTAGATATTTTCCTGCTCTACATACTTTACCGTAGACGCCAAGGGTCCTTTTTTTAGTATTATGGTCAACTGTTTGTTAGCATAAGAGGCGTAATGGATTTGTGATCAAAACAAGATGATCCAAATTAGATCCGCTTTTTTATAGATAATGAAGAAAAGTACCAAAATCTAGGAACGATTATTAACTCTTAACTTTCGTGGGATGCTAATACAGATTATGATTTACAATAATGGCCACCAAAGACTTTATATTTTTTACGCTTAGGATATTGTTATAATTACACTGTTATGTCCTTGTTTTGTATAAGCTTCATAACTTAATCATTCAATATTTCATGGAATGACTCTGACCTTGGCGAGGATCTTTTTTGCAACAAGTGATTCCTCATGTAAAGTGTATGTTGAATGACCCTGGCTTTGTTGTCAAATAATTGTTTGACAGTTGTTAAATATGGGGTTATGTTTTATCTCTGAATGTTTGGGATGAAATATTTTAATAAGGACGGTTCTAAGTTGGAAACTCAACTGGGGCCTTTTCAATTGAATTCAATGTACAGCATGTACAGTTTGGACATTTCTCTAATGTGAATGCTACTTATGTTTGCAGAATGTCTGGATGAATGAATGAGTCAGTCATCTGCACAGCATCAATGGAAAAAGGGAAGCAATGAGGAACAAGAGAAGAGTAGCAGTGAGTGGTAAATATTTGAAATTATTCTGTTTGGTTCATCATGTTCATGTAGCTATTCTGCAAATATTTCTTCAGTTTGCTTGTTCTTTATCACCTGTTGGCATGGATGGCCTAATTATCAAAGGTACTACAACTTGCTGTGCATAGTTGCATCTCTTGGGCTTGACAGAAACCGATGGTCGTGGGTTTGAATCGAGGGTAGCATCATACACTTGCTTGTGGGTTTCATCAAAGTGGTAAACATGTAAGACCTGCATCACTTCGGGCTTTCTTCCCACATCAAGCTTACATGCCGTGATATAACTGGAATACTGTTCAAAGAGGCGTTAAACCCAATTCACTCATTTAACACCACATCCAGCAATAGTTCGGCTAAATGACAAGGATTATAAATTAATCAAATCTCAAATCTCAACTAGACAAACCAGAGATTAATGTTATGAGCTCGATCCAGACGCACCGATGATGACTGTTATGGACAACATCCCATGTTATTGGGTACGATTACGAGCTTTCAATGAGCCCACTTGCTACCTCATCTATTACTTTGGCTTGTATGGCAAGCATAGGTTGCTAGGAACATTTTTAAGAGATGTCAGTTAATGATTGTTTCAACTCATCAGCATGGAACAATATATATCTCAAATGTTTGGTATATAACAAAACTCAAAGATGATAAATTAAGTGAATTTGCTGCCTTTTATCTGTAAGTACATGTTGCAACAATTCTTTTCTTTTGCTACAATCTTTATACATAATTTTGCAGAAACTGAAGTCCAGCTTGAGATACCCGGATGACAGGTTGACAGTCTGGAAGGACCCTTCCAGATATCCGAAGTGATTGGCAGACAGCGATGAGGAGAGTCCTGTTATTTCAATGGGAGCCTACCGAGAAGTTATATGCCAATTGACACTGGGACACACTCACAAAGGGTGGTCAGGCAAATGTGAGAAGACCAACCAATGCCAAGTCGGAGTGGGATCCTTCAAGGACCTTGAAGAAATTATTGTCTTTGGCCATGTGGTAATCACTTGAAAGGAATGATGTTTGCGACTACTTGTCTATAAATGTGGACCCAAACACCAAATAGAATGTTCACAATTCTACTAACACAATGCAACAGGGATAGAGCCCATCTGGCCTCCCCTCATCCTGGTTCCTGTTTTTCCATGGCAATATAGAAGGAAAAGGATGTTTGAGGGCAAGTAACTCTGAACTGGTGAGCATGGTCTGCTGATGCTTTCAAGCGAACAGTTATCCCGCTCTGTTATGAGTATTGAAGAATAGGAGGAAAGTGCATACTGCATCAGGAACCATTACATGAACACTGTTCAATGTGTGATATATGCATATAAATAAAAGAAATTGATAATTTGTTTGTTGTTTGTTTCTTTAGCCCGCTGTGTAAATGGGGATTTTCCAATATTTTGCCTCAGTTTGATAGCCACAGTTATCGTATAAAACCATGCATTGCTTGGACATCTTTGGAATAACACATTGATCTGCTATGTCAAAGGTCAATGTCACAGCCAGACAAAAAAATTGTTAATGGCCAAACTCTTCCTTAGGGCAGGGATAGAAGTTGGCAACAGGTCATACACTTACTTTTTATCCCCCGGCATATAATACGGGGGATATAGTGATCAGCCTGTCTGTCCGTCCGTCCGTCCGTCCGTAATCATTTCCTTTTCCGGGGCAGGATTCCCAAACCATTCAGTGTATTTGATCGAAACTTGGCAACTCTTATCAGGCACATACTGAAGTGGTGCCTTTTGATATTTTGGGATTTTTCTAATTTTTATTTTTTTAAATTTTTATGGAATGAAGTTGGACATAGACTCAATTGGGGATGGGGTTCGTTTCCGGGGCAGAATTCGAAAACCATTCAGTGTATTTGATCGAAACTTGGCAACTCTTATCAGGCACATACTGAAGTGGTGCCTTTTGATATTTTGGGATTTTTCTAATTTTTATTTTTTAAAATTTTTATGGAATGACGTTGGACATAGACTCAATTGGGGATTGGGTTCGTTTCCGGGGCAGAATTCGAAAACCATTCAGTGTATTTGATCGAAACTTGGCAAAGCTATCATGCACATACTGAAGTGGTGCCTTTCAAATTTTGGGATTTTTCTAATTTTTATTTTTTATCTTTTTTTAATGGAATCAAGTTGGACATAGACTCAATTGGGGATGAGGTTCATTTCTGGGGCAGAATTCGAAAAACATTCAATGTATTTGATCGAAACTTGGCATTCATATGGATGCGACCATGGTGGATCTTTTGTGGGTAAACAATGTATGCTTCTTAAAGAACATTCAACTGTTGACTCATTACATACAGAAATGCACTAGTGGTTACTTTACAGACAGCTGCCGGGGGGATATGTCATCTTTCTGATGACTCTTGTTCTCTAATGTGCCTTTTCCCGCAGAAGTCTAAATAACTCTTATACACATAGTTGTATATCATTGTCATATGTTTGTCAATATTACACTGAATGAAGCACTTTACAATTGTTTTTGAAATAGTCGCAACTGATATTGAAGGTCAAATTAGCTTTCAATGTCTTTCAGTAAAAATGTTCACAGTAACTGAGGAACAGCTCTCTGTAGTGTGATGAAATCTGGTACATGTCACCCTCAGAGTGAGGCATATTGTGTTTCAAACTTAAATGAAGCTGGTATGCTCATAACAAGTACTTGTACCTTTTCAAATAATCATATTATCATCTCACTAGGACCAAAGGCCCAAGTGAGCACACAGTCGATGAGTTTATACTTTCACTCAGAATAATCTGGAAGTCTGAACATGAAATTTAAGGATATCATCATACATGTATTAGAACTGTTGTTTGTTCATTAAACAGCTTAACATCTAAAAAGAATTATAGATGAAATTGAAAAAAATTGTCTTCTCCAAAAGTACATGCCCATAGATCTCAACTTTAAGGGGATATTTTCAACTAAAATGACACAGAATATTACTACAGCTATCTGATATGCCCAGGCTAACATTATTTACCAGAAATAAGACATCTCGAAAAATTGCATCCGGATACCTGCCGGATACCTGCCGGATACCTTCAGCAATGTTCAATTTTCATGGTTAGTTTCCAATATATATTTAGGTGTTTCACACTTAATTGAACAAAATGCACCCCCAAATTGTGACATGTTTTTGGAAACTCAGGATGAGGTATCCGGTGCCGGATTCTTGGTATCCGGTGCGGATCCTTGGACACCCAGATTGAGGTATCCGGTGAGGTATCCGGTGCCGGATACCCGGATTCCAGGTGGCATACTTTCAGGTGAGGTGTCCATGCCGGATACCACGGATCTGGTATACGGCAAGGTATCTGCCACCGGATACCCGGACGCGTTTTGGGTAAGTGTCCGGTGGTATCCGGCAGGTATCCGGATACCGGAAACTGCATTTTTTTTGCTGTGAACAAGAGAACACAGAATATGTCAATGTTGTGATAAAACAGGGAATGAATATCATTGTTCATTGGGTCATGCTAACAAACCCTAATAAGACCCCGCCGTCATGGCCACTCCAAGTGATTGTCAGATCTCACTCCTATATACAGTCAGACATCATGTCAATTTATTCATTTCCAATATCCCCATAGTGGTAAATGTAAGAGAATCACTTTCCGACTTTCTGAAAAGAGTCCCCCACCAAACTACTTCTTGTTATTTCTTACAAACGCATATATACAAATATATGAACAGCTCGTAACAGCATATGAATGAAAATAGGCTCGGTTTTGTTGAGTTACCATCTAAAACATTGAGGCAGGTAAGTTGATTTTGATTTTGATTTTGACACACACACACACACACACACACACACACACACACACACACACACACACACACACACACACACACACACACACACACACTAATCTATAAGAATTCAGACTTTATTCGACCGCGAACTTTTGAACTGGTCCCTCACCGTCAGTTCTACTGGCTGCATAATGATGGCGAAGTTGGTCAGGTGACTTGATTTGCACACGGTACTGTCGTCCGTCATCCGGGTAGTTGCTATACCGGAAGGCGACCACTCTGAACTGAAACAAATAGCTTAAAGGTGACTAGCCTCGTGTAAATTGTTTGTTTGTTTGTTTGTGGAGCAACATTGAAACTATATGACAGCGGTCTATAAATAATCCAGTCTGGACCAGATATTCTAGTGATTGACATTATGAACATCGGTCAGCGCAACTGGGATACGATGACATGCATCAACCAAGTCAGCGAATCTGACCACCCAATGACCTGCCTGACCAACCAAAAATGAATGATTACAAAATTGAAAGTGCTGAATACATACCTGCGAAGATCTTCCTTCATGAACACACAGAGTGGACTCAGTTTGTTGTGCTGCAGAGAAAAAAACAGATTTCAGTCGTCACCACTCGCCCCTTTACGTAACCTGCAAGAAGACTCGTCCCCCTATCGATGAAAATACGACAAACCAATCAGAATGCGCGTATGATTTCAAGTTTTGCGTCAAAGAATCCATCAGAAATAATTTTTTATTTTACATGTCTTGCATCTAAAACTATACCAAAGACACAGTTAAATGTGTTCACTCATACTCTATAATTCCGCGTATCAGGATGTGCTTTAAATTGCATATATGAAATATCGGGAAATATATGTCAACCATTACCCAACGAGTTGACAACTGTTTTCGATATGACCGTTAGCGCTGAGACGGAACCCGGTCGAAAATATGGCCATGAGGGGCACGAATTGCTATTCGGCTTGTCCCGGGAGACCACGAGTTGGTCACGAATGGTCCCGAATGTGCTCAAATACGACCAACCAATCAGAATGCTCGTAAGGTCTGAGGTACTTCGATAAAAATAATCCCAAGTACTTAATTCTGTTATGGCCGTACGTGTAATTGATCATGTAAATACATGAAATATACATATAATAATTTCGACATTACACAGTACATGGATGTTTATACCGATAGGTCCACGTACGGGGCGAGGTTCAAATCCACACATGCATTTATATAACGGTTCACGTGTTTTTCTGTAACGTTTAATCTCTGATCTTATAAACCTTTTAGGGGACACGGGCGGCTCAGTCGTCTAATTATATATGGCGCCGCGATTCGCTGTGCAGAGTTGCACGCCAAAAACCTATGATTGTGGGTTCGAATACCTGTTCGCCCCGATTATGTTTCTAGGTTTGTCAGCAAAATACCCGTGCTCGTAGATTTCACCAAAGTGGTAAACGTCTGAGACCTGCATCACTTCGAGCTTTCCTCACACACTAAGCTGACACGCCGTGATATAACTGGAATACTGTTAAAAGCGGGATTAAACCCAACTAACTCACTCACTACTATAAACCTTTTATGCTGATACTTGCAAATGGAGCAAACTATTCTTGCTTTTCTAAAATCAAAGTAAAAAATTTAAACTTTTTAATTACGAATCACCTACCTCTTCATCATTGGTCATAGATTCTAACCATAAGGCCACAGATGATAAACTGTAGTTCATTATAATTAGACGGTACCATAGTTAGAGTTTAGTCCTAGACAGATATATTTTACAAACGTTTCTTTTCATCACTTGCTTGATAAAGGTGTTAGGATATACCCCGAAACGTCGCACTAATTGTAATAAAGAAGTTGTTCATCCATAGAACTCGTCTTACTTCATCACACCAACTTCTTAATGCCACTGAAAGAAGTTAAACGTTTCTTTTGACTGTCTTAAGGCACTTTTATACATAATAATAATAATAAGTGTTGTTTCGACGGTAAGTCAGGGAAAACACTTAAAAATCTCTTTTTTCGTCAGTTTTCGAAGAAACAAATAGTTTCAAAACAATATTATTCACATTTAAATAAATAATTTCATACTTTGAAGTTTACACTGTTTCTTTCATGTTGATTGGCTGAATGGGTAGTCACGTGATCTGATATTTGGAGTTCACACACCTGTGAACGGACTATGTGAACATTTTTTTGTGAAATTGATCGTGTGAACTTTTTCCGGAACTACTTTCCAGGGTTTCCCGAATTCTCGATCAGTGTTTACGATCAACTCGTTTTTCTATTTTCTTTTTAATCCCAGCATTTATCAGCAATATAATTAATTTAGTATTTTGCCTGGTCTTGTAAAATTTCATCTGACTTATAAATAAATAAATGCTTTGGTTCTTATGTCGTCTAGCTGCTAACGTTAATGTATGTGTATAAAAAAGCGCTTACTTTTTATTCCGTTTGGGGGTGTTTTAGTTGTTAAGATGATAAAAGGTGACGCGAAATGAGGTTTAACATCAAGATTATTGCAGTTATATAGAGACGTGCAATCTACCGCGCGTGCGTGCGTGCGTGCGTGAGCGTGCGTGCGTGCGAGCGTGCGTGTGTGTGTGTATGTGTGTGTGCGTGTGTGCTATTCCAAACTTTAAACTGATTTTAAACATCTTGAGTTTTAAGACAATAAGAATAAAAATTCAGTTAATCCACAGTCATTGTTAAGGGCTAATGTATACCAATTGTTGCCTAGATTTATCAAACTATCGAAATAGATATAAACTTGTCACATATTAACTCTTGAGTTAGATCTGGCAATGGTTGATGTTATCCAATGTTATTAATCGAAGCTAAATGTATGAAAGACTAATTTAATTACCACCAAAGTTTATGGCAGTATTGATATCGTGAGACAATTCAAAAATTATACTTTTTCCAAAGCCTTTCTATAATATTCTGATTGATGCTTTCTTGGCAGTATACTGACTCCGAGCCGGCCAGTCCTTGTTTTAGCCCCCTAATGCCGAGCGCCAGACAGGGTAACAACAAGTACCACCTGGCGGTATATACAGTTAGGAGGCAGAGTTTATACAGTAGAGCAGATTGGGATGTAGTAACACTGGAGTGGAAAAGCCTGTTATGTACACAAGGGAAAACGGAAAAAAGGATGAAGCCAGTAATATAAAAGGGTGAAGTTAGTGATATAAAAGGATGAAGCCAGTGATATAAAAGGATGAAGCCAGTAATATAAAAGGATGAAGCCAGTGCTATAAAAGGATGAAGCCATTAATATAAATGATGAAGCCAGTGATATAAAAGGTTGAAGCCAGTGATATAAAAGGATGATGCCAATGATATAAAAGGATGATGCCAGTGCTATAAAAGGATGAAGCCAGTAATATAAAAGGTTGAAGCCAGTGATATAAAGGATGAAGCCAGTGCTATAAAAGGATGAAGCCAGTAAAATAAAAGGATAAAAAGTGCTATAAGAGGATGAAGCCAGTGATATAAAAGGTTGAAGCCAGTGATATAAAAGGATGAAGCCAGTGCTATAAAAGGATGAAGCCAGTGCTATAAAAGGATGAAGCCAGTGATATAAAAGGATGCAGCCTGTGATATAAAATGATGAAGCCAGTAATATAAAATATGAAGCCAGTGATATAAAAGGATGAAGCCAGTAATATAAAAGGAGGAAGCCAGTGATATAAAAGGATGCAGCCTGTGATATAAAATGATGAAGCCAGTAATATAAAATATGAAGCCAGTGATATAAAAGGATGAAGCCAGTAATATAAAAGGAGGAAGCCAGTGATATAAAAGGATGAAGCCAGTTATATAAAAGGATGAAGCCAGTAATATAAAAGGATGAAGCCAGTGATATAAAAGGATGAAGTCTGTAATATAAAAGGATGAAGCCAGCGATATAAAAAGGAGGACGTCAGTACTATGAAAGGTTTAAGCCAGTGCTATAAAAGGATGAAGCCAGTGCTATAAAAGGATGAAGCCATTAATATAAAAGGAGGAAGCCAGTAATATGAAAGGGTGAAGCCAGTAATATAAAAGGATGAAGCCAGTAATATAAATAGATGAAGCCTGTAATATGAAAGGTTTAAGCCAGTGCTATAAAAGGATGAAGCCAGTGCTTTAAAAGGATGAAGCCAGTGATATAAAAGGGTGAAGCCAGTAATATAAAAGGATGAAGCCAGTAATATAAATAGATGAAGCCAGTGCTATAAAAGGATGAAGCCAGTAATATAAAAGGATGAAGCCAGTGATATAAAAGGATGAAGCCAGTGATATAAAAGGATGAAGCCAGTGATATAAAAAGATGAAGCCAGTAATATAAAAGGATGAAGCCAGTGATATAAAAGGATGAAGCCAGTGATATAAAAGGATGAAGCCAGTGATATAAAAGGATGAAGCCAGTGATATAAAAGGATGAAGCCAGTAATATAAAAGGATGAAGCCAGTAATATAAAAGGATGAAGCCAGTGATATAAAAGGATGAAGCCAGTAATATAAAAGGATGAAGCCAGTGATATAAAAGGATGAAGCCAGTGATATAAAAGGATGAAGCCAGTGATATAAAAGGATGAAGCCAGTAATATAAAAGGATGAAGCCATTAATATAAAAGGATGAAGCCAGTGATATAAAAGGATGAAGCCAGTAATATAAAAGGATGAAGCCAGTGATATAAAAGGATGAAGCCTGTGATATAAAAGGGTGAAGCCAGTAATATAAAAGGATGAAGCCAGTAATATAAATAGATGAAGCCTGTAATATGAAAGGTTTAAGCCAGTGCTATAAAAGGATGAAGCCAGTGCTTTAAAAGGATGAAGCCAGTGATATAAAAGGGTGAAGCCAGTAATATAAAAGGATGAAGCCAGTAATATAAATAGATGAAGCCAGTGATATAAAAGGATGAAGCCAGTAATATAAAAGGATGAAGCCAGTAATATAAAAGGATGAAGCCAGTAATATAAAAGGATGAAGCCAGTGATATAAAAGGATGAAGACAGTAATATATACAACAGGATTATAAGGAAGAGAATTTATTGAAGGCAACTTCTTTATTGTGAGAAACAGGACGTTTCGGTGTATATACTAACTCCTTCATCGGGTGAATAATTGATATGGGTCAGAAAACATGTATATGTACCTGTAAGAACAACAAAAGTAATAAGAACAAAGGAGGCCAAAAGATAACTGGTGCTTATAGGTGATTAGCAATGGATAAATGGAAGCCAGTACTTGGGTAAATGGAAGCCAATACTTGGATAAATGAAAGCCAATACTTGGATAAATAAAGCCAATACTTGGATAAATAAAGCCAATACTTGGATAAATGGAAGCCAACACATGGATAAATGGAAGCCAACACATGGATAAATGGAAGCCAACACATGGATAAATGGAAGCCAATACTTGGATAAATGGAAGCCAACACATGGATAAATGGAAGCCAACACATGGATAAATGGAAGCCAATACTTGGATAAATGGAAGCCAACACATGGATAAATGGAAGCCAATACTTGGATAAATGGAAGCCAACACATGGATAAATGGAAGCCAATACTTGGATAAATGGAAGCCAACACATGGATAAATGGAAGCCAATACTTGGATAAATGGAAGCCAACACATGGATAAATGGAAGCCAATACTTGGATAAACGGAAGCCAACACATGGATAAATGGAAGCCAACACATGGATAAATGGAAGCCAATACTTGGATAAATGGAAGCCAACACATGGATAAATGGAAGCCAATACTTGGATAAACGGAAGCCAACACATGGATAAATGGAAGCCAACACATGGATAAATGGAAGCCAATACTTGGATAAATGGAAGCCAACACATGGATAAATGGAAGCCAATACATGGATAAATGGAAGCCAACACATGGATAAATGGAAGCCAATACTTGGATAAATGGAAGCCAACACATGGATAAATGGAAGCCAATACTTGGATAAATGGAAGCCAACACATGGATAAATGGAAGCCAATACTTGGATAAATGGAAGCCAACACATGGATAAATGGAAGCCAATACTTGGATAAATGGAAGCCAACACATGGATAAATGGAAGCCAATACTTGGATAAACGGAAGCCAACACATGGATAAATGGAAGCCAACACATGGATAAATGGAAGCCAATACTTGGATAAATGGAAGCCAACACATGGATAAATGGAAGCCAATACTTGGATAAACGGAAGCCAACACATGAATAAATGGAAGCCAATACTTGGATAAACGGAAGCCAACACATGGATAAATGGAAGCCAATACTTGGATAAATGGAAGCCAAAACTTGGATAAATGGAAGCCAATACTTGGATAAATGGAAGCCAACACATGGATAAATGGAAGCCAATACTTGGATAAATGGAAGCCAACACATGAATAAATGGAAGCCAATACTTGGATAAATGGAAGCCAACACATGGATAAATGAAAGCCAATACTTGGATAAATGGAAGCCAATACTTGGATAAATGGAAGCCAACACATGGATAAATGGAAGCCAATACTTGGATAAATGGAAGCCAACACATGAATAAATGGAAGCCAATACTTGGATAAATGGAAGCCAACACATGGATAAATGAAAGCCAATACTTGGATAAATGGAAGCCAATACTTGGATAAATGGAAGCCAACACATGGATAAATGGAAGCCAATACTTGGATAAATGGAAGCCAACACATGGATAAATGGAAGCCAATACTTGGATAAATGGAAGCCAACACATGGATAAATGAAAGCCAATACTTGGATAAATGAAAGCCAATACTTGGATAAATGGAAGCCAATACTTGGGTAAATGGAAGCCAACACATGGATAAATGAAAGCCAATACTTGGATAAATGAAAGCCAATACTTGGATAAATGGAAGCCAATACTTGGGTAAATGGAAGCCAACACATGGATAAATGGAAGCCAACACTTGATTTATTACTGAATGGTCATAGGCAATGGACAGTGGGAAAATGGGATGCCGTAGATAATTAGAACTGATAAGTAATAGAATGGTTATGACAATTGGCAAATGGAAGCAGGTAGACAATTAGCACCGACAATGATCAAAGCAATACTCCCAGGCCCTGGTCAGATAGGTGATTAGCACTGATAGGTATAGACTATAGACAAACGAAAGCCAGGTACGTAATTAGCCCCGACAATGGTCAAGGCAGTACGTCCAAAGTACTAGGCAGATAGGTTCCCTGGTCACAGTTCATGGCTGGCTGGTGTCTCCTGATGTCAAAGCTACTTGTTGTTTTCTTTGTCGCTAGTTGTTGGCTAATTACCCATCTGCCCAGTGGGGTTTTAAGGTTATCATTGGGTCCCAGCAGTCGTTAGGATGACCAAATAGATCGGGTGGTCAAGCTCGGTGACTAAGTTGAGAGCGGTTTGTACACAATATAGATCACTGGGTTGTGGGGTCCAGTCTCGATGCGTGGCGTTAAACAAACAGGAGAGACGTCAAAAGATGTATGCGAGTAAGTACAGCATCAGGTCGCATCAAGGAGGAACATCACTTCATACAAATAAACGTAAAACGTATTGTTGTTAATGCTACATCCATGCTGAATGAACCATTTAACTAGCAATGATAACAAGAAAGTGTTAATAATTGAGTTGAAATCACACTTTTCTATTAAGCTGCCGTAGATGCAACCTTTTATTATTTGTTTGTTGACAGTCCTTAGCATCTACTGCCAATCTGGAACGTTTCATAATAGTTGGTGCTAGGAGACTCGGAGAATGTGTGAGAATGGCTTTAAGTTTCTCAAAGGCAGACTGACAATTGTTGTCCCGAGCAAATGTCACCATTTTGCCCAGTACACAAATGTACGGTGGCCCATAAGGGACATGGAGTCTGTTTTTCCATATTTTGATATTTCACTTACATTTATCGTAACCTTTTGCAAATTAACACGATTTGTCTTACAAATATGTGATAAATCATGTGTAAAGAAGATATTGAATCGCTTAAAAACGAAACGAAAAATGTCAAAAACTAAAATGAAAATGTCAAAATCACAAAACGAAAATGTCAAAAACTAAAATGAAAATACAAAAAACTATTTCCACCGCGGTGTAAATATTATCACCGCGGTGGAAATAGTTTTCTGTGTATTCATTTTAGTTTTTGACATTTTCGTTTTGTGTTTTTGACATTTTCATCTTAGTTTTTGACCTTTTCGTTTTGGTTTTTGACATTTCCATTTTAGTTTTTGACATTTTCACTTCACATTTCAGCGACTCAAAAGCTACTTAAAAGTACATTTTCTATGTTTTCGGATGTTTTTATACATGATTTATCACATATTTGTATGGCAGATTGTGTTAATTTGCAAAAGGTTAAGATAAAAGTAAGTTAAACATCAAAATATTGAAAAACAGACTCCATGTCCCTTATGGGCCTCCGTACAAATGAGTGAAAGTTTGTAGACACAGTCTGGAACGTAACTGTAGTGAAGGAACAAGGAAGTTTGAACACTTACATCTAAAGGAACATGTTTGAACTGAAGATCGAGCGTTGACGTCATCAAATCATGTGCACCAATGTTGACTGACACAATGGGTGTGATTCGTGAAGACTCCTTCATATCCTCCAGTTCAGAATCCAAGATGGCTACAATTACCTGGCTGGTATGGGTTCCGTTTGTGGCTGGAAAGACATATTTAATTAAGCGAATGTTTTGGATTATAGGTGAGGTGAAATTGGGTTTAACGTCGCGTCCAAGATTATTGCACTTATATAGCGACGTGCATGCACGTGTATGTGTGTGTGTGGCTGCTTGTACTAGTCCGGACTGATGCCGATTTATGGTGCTAGCTCACTGAGATACCATGCCGCAGTTTAACATAAATACCCCACTCAGACACAGTATACTGACTCCGTGCCGACCAGTCCTTGTTTTAGCCCCTTAATGCCGAGCGCCAGACAGGGTAACAACAAGTACAATCTTTTAACGTCTTTTTGTATGACGCGGCCCGGGATCGAACCCCGGACCTTCCGCTCTCCGGGCGGACGCTCTACCACAAGACCACGGAGGCGGTCGTTATGGATTATAATACTATAGCACTTACTTTATTTCATCGTTAGACCATCTCCGTTGTGTAGTGGATAGAGCGTCTGCGTTGAAAGCGGAGGTTCGATCCCCGGCCGTGTCATACAAGACGTTGATATGACACTTGTTACTCTGACTAAAGGGCATTAATGGGGATAAAACAAGGTCAGGTCGGAGTCGGTATACTATGTCTGAGTGGGGTACCTCAAAATTTGGTGCCTCGAGGCAATTTCTGTCCCAAACAAATGTCACCCTTTTGCAGATCAGTGAGAATGGCTACCACATAAGCGAAGTTTTAGTAGTTACCAGTCATACCCAGAAAGTTCTTAAGTTTCTTTTTGCTTTTGGGAACTTGGGATTTTGAAATAGCTTCCACCTTTGCTTGAAGGGGCTGTACCTGACCTTTGTCTATGACGTGACCTAAGTATTGTAGATGTTCCATTGCAAAATGACTTTTCACTTAATTTACAGTCAACTTGGCTTCAGTCAGTCTCTCAAAGAAGGCATGGGCCCTCTTCAGATGTCCGTCCCACTCAATGAAATCGAGTAACTTGATTGGTGAGATGCTGGGAGGTACCTTGGGCGTTCTGTAGCCCAAATGGCAGAACTTTGTATTGATCTGGAGTGACAAAAGCCAAAAGTCACCCCTTCAATAGGTCAAACTTCCTGACCTACTCGCTGACGATTCAGTCGTCAATTCTTAGTATTCAGAAACAGCTTTCATCCGTTTTCATGTCTGTACAGCATCGGTAACCACCATCAGGCTTCTGCACATAAATGCGAGATGAACGATGACTTGGTTGAATAATGTCATAGTCCGGCATGTGTTGAACTTCTTTCATCAGGGCTTCAAGCTTGATTGGACTCATCTGGTAGGGTGTTGTTTGGCAGGCACAGCAGCACCTACATCTTCATGACACGACTCACTGAATCTGTATGGCCAGGTACATCCGTAAACAAGCGAGCAAACTCTTGAATTAACTCTGACACTTGGGCCTTTGGCTCAGATGACAAATGACCAAACTTAATATCTAAGTTAGCTAAAACTTCAGGATTGTTTAGCTTGGGGACAGCATATTCAGCAATACCATCAAACTTTACAAAGTCAAACTTCAATCTGATCAATATCTACAGGAGAAAGAGTGGCAACACACTGAGCAGGTACTTGATCATTTCCTTCATGATGCTTTCTAATCATATTGACATGACGGCCCAATGTTTGTACAACATAGTCAGTCCTTTCAATAACATATGGACCGTGGTACCTAGCACGTAACTTTGTATAAACTGAAATTCCTCTCTTATAACTTTTGGTCATAATGTACTTACATTTGCGATTCTTTAAAATAATCCCTAGTCGTTTTACAAGCTTTAAAAAGCCTAGCCCGACATGATGCATCATACTCCAATAAACTCATATCATTAAGCCAATGTTCCTTCAAGTGCTTTAAAGGTCCTTAAACAGACAGGTTCGAAAGGAAGAAAGCCAAGGGACTCCTGATCACAGCAAATAACAACAAATGAATAACTGACACATGGCCGGCTGGAAAACATGACTAGAAACTGCTCTGAGCTGACGGTATCGTCCTAGACGAACCAACCACAGTGAAGAACTTTACCAAAGCCTTGATAAAAACCTGAGCTGTAATTTTCTCTCAATAAAGAGCCTCTGAAATCCTTGTGGAAGCACACATGGTAGTAAGCATGTACTGAGTATCTGACCTAGTCTTAGGCAAAGGACCAACACAATCAGAGATGAGCCTGCTCAAAGGATCTTCAAAGGCTGGAATGGGTTTCATAGGTGTGGCTGTACCAGACTCAAAACACGTTTTCGATATGAACGTGGATAAACAGTTGGATGAAAACCACCCATTCCTTACCAGCAGGAGCACCTGACGGCCTCCATATCGCCATGAAGAAATAAAAGTAAACTGGAACCATGTCAGCTTCTTCTGCAGAGAGTGTCCTGTTGGCAACACTTCTGAGCTCTGGGTCTTCCCCCTGTAACTTTACCAACTGCTCACTATGTAGAACTGATTCCTAAACAGCCAAACTGTTTCAATTTCGAGTACTCTTTCTTGAAGATTTAGACAGGTCATGAGAATGATCCATAAAAGTGTCAGCCAAATCGTAATTGGAATCATTCTCAGAAGAAATTTCAGTACTTTCCAAAGTGCCAGGCTCATGACAAACACCAGGATCAGCCAAACATCGTCCCTGCCAAATCATTCCCAATGAGCAAGTCTACACCTGTAACAGATAGAGTTTCCACAAACCCAACCTTGATCAACCCAAAACACCATATCTGTCTGCAAATTCATAAAATGGAGAGGTGCACTGGTACAACCACGTAAACCATCTAACAACACCTCAGAGCTGATGACTGCTCAGAAAGTGGCAAAATACCATCCAAACTCAGAGTTTGAAGAGCGCCAGTATCCCTCAAAGCGGTAATGGGCTAAACATTGGAACTGTCGCCTTTAGCTTCACAAGACCTTACCATAAGGAGGTGAGTACTTCTCTCCCACAACACAAAACTTTGATGGCTGGTCTACAAACGCTGACTCCTCATTAGCCAAACCACAAAAAGCTTGTGACCTGACATTTACAAAAGCATTGGGGGAAGAACCTTTTATACTCCCAAATAATATGCCCCGACCTACGGCAGTATTTGCAAGTAGGCTCCGACGAAAATCAAGAAGTATCTTGAGAACAAAATGGAATAAAACTTAACTTTTTGTCAACAAACTCAGAACCAGGCTTAGAGATGAGGAGAGGATGAACATTCCTATCCTGATTTAGAGCCCTGCAAATTTCTACCTGCAAACCATCTCTGCCTGATACTTACCCTATGAGAACCACTCCTTTTCTCAGCAGACCTAGATCTGTACCAATCTGTCCCGAGTTTTGTTTTATTTGTATACCATTATAATGCGACACAAGAGTGAGTGTGTGAGTGTGGTTTTACGCCGCCTTTATCAATATTCCAGCAATATCACGATAGGGGACATCAGAAATAGGCTTCACACATGGTACCCATGGGAATCGAACGCGGATCTCCGGCTTGACGAGCGAACGCTTTAACCACTAGGCTACCCAACCACCCCGCAACACAAGAAGCGCCATGGAGTTACTTACCATTTTTTTATTCGTAACTTCGAAACGTCCAGGCTAGAGAATTATCAATGTTGGTTAACTGCCGAAACAGATTCCATTAAACGCGGGGGCGGTCGGGTAGCCTGGTGGTTCCCGACATGGGTACAATGTGTGAAGCCCATTTCTGTTGTCCCCCGCCGTGATATTGCTGGAATATTGCTAAAAGCGGCGTAAAACCAAACTCACTCACTCACCCATTAGACGCGAAAGACTAAACAGCGTGGAAAATTATGTGAATAATTAACCACTGAAAATCAGTGATGACATCTGGCTTCGTGACCTACCGTTAGATTCAATCGGAGGAACTATAACGGACACCCTGTCAAACTGACACCTGGTTTCGTGACCTACCGTTAGATTCAAGCGGAGGAACTATAACGGACACCCTGTCAAACTGAAACCTGGCTGCCTTCCTCCTCTCAAGTCTCTGAGCATGAAACTCTGAAAAGGGAAAATATACTGAAAAAAAATATGAATATTTTGGGGTATAATTTTTTGTAAGTTATGACCACGTGATTTCTATCATGGTAAGCTTCGGCAGTCAATGACCATATTTAGGCAGCATGTGCAGCATAGGTACATTACCAGCACGAACAAATCGTGCAGATGTTGTACTAAAAGCGCTATTGACCAAGTTCTTGCTAAATATAAACGCACGCAGTCCCCTAACTGCCGAGTCCTACCCGAATTGTAATCACGTGATCAAAACTCAATGATGATGTTATCGCTAGGAAAATGGATATTTCTTGAAAAACGCACATATCAGAGGGATGGCTTTTTTCACTTTATAGTATTGGCACACGCGGAGCTATCGTCGTTAATTGATAATCCTGACATTTCGTAATTCTATTTCAAGAGGCGAGGACAATAGGCAATGAAACTGCCTCCTAATCATACGAGTCTGGGTCTTCAGACGAACAAAGACTTAGAAAACTATTAGCTTGCCTTATTTGTGTGATATAACATACAAATGACAGTGTTGTCGATGCGATGAATAAGAATAACAAAACTGTTTCCATAAACATTAGAAGTCCATTGTAGGATTCCCGATAGATCTTGAAGATTTGTCTGTGAGAAACTATCAAATAGTGATGATACCAGGTACTCGCGAAGATGTGAGCGTATCCTACACCGCCGGGGCACTCGTCACAAACACATGCAAAGGCAAGTAAATTGTTCACAGATACGTAAATGAGGTCACCCAACAGGAACCAGCTGCAAACATAGACGTTAGGCCTAATTGATCGAACCGCTACTGTTTATATAGCTAAATGGGGTAGATTGCTGTATTTATAGTTATTCTATGATAAAGAGTTTATGATCCTGGAGTCAACGTATCGTGAAAATCACAGGACGAGAATATATTTGGGGAAACTTGAATCAATAGCCTGGAATATTTGTGATTTAATCCAAATTAACGATGTCTCATTTAAACATCTCGATCTATCACAGAAAATCTCAAATATGCCTCAGACAAATCAATCAAGTTCTGACATTGATCATATGATATTGGAGCTGGCGGTCATTACCGGAAACGGAAGTGCCATTTCCTCGGATAACTACCAGACATAAAGCATGAACTGACATCATTGAGAATATATCTGCCATTAGTCCGTGACAGACATAATGAATAATATGTCTTTTGAAGACATCATTAATATCAATCAAGAGTTTAGTTAGTATTTGTCAGTTACAGAAAGCAGTCAGTCGTCCGCCATTGCTATCGTGTGATTCATATTGGCTTCGGCGGTTATGGCGATATTATTTATCTTGGACATCTGGCTTATAAATCGACAAATAAAGATTAATATGTCGGAATAATTTCGATTACATGTCAAATATCGAGCAAAACAAAAACATGTATATAGTTTGACAATTCAGCTTTACATAATATTTATTTTAAAAGGGTTGAAAGTTCAACGTCAAAAGAAGTCAACCACATGCACTCTTGTTTTTGTAACACGAAAGCTTAATTCTGATTTTGGAAAATAGCATGATGTTAAGTAGTACTTTACTTCAGGTGCCTGTTATTAAGCCGTGATGTTGGAAATGAGAACTCATAACTGATAAGGCACATGTGCGGTATATGTCGTTACATTCACTTTTACGACATTCATTCTCGTTTATGGCACAACATCGAAACCATGTAATTTGGTATCCAACTAACGAAAGATGGCCAAATGTTTTATTTTGCTATATAAGATAGTGACGCGATAAATCGCAGAGAACAATTTTTTTTGTCACGACAAAACATTGTTATATCATGACGTCATTTCTGGAGATTCGAAACTGCGCTCGCAACTTCATGACGTCGTATATTGGACGACGTTATTTTTTTTTTTTATTATTTTTTTTTTTTTTTTGGGGGGGGGGGGGGGGGTGCGATCGTTCGTTATCTGATTAGCCCAGCTACATCTATGGGGACACTCACCTCTCAAATAACGTCGTCCAATATATGATGTCATCAAGCTTCGAGCGCGTATTCGAGATGAAGTCATGATAGAACATTGGTTTGTCGTGAAAAACCACGCAGCGTTCTTCATTGTTCTTTGCGGGAAGCTATCTTATATTCATCTATATATAGCAGTAAGCAAAACGTTATTACGACAAGGATAAGTGTATAGCATTATCTTCTTCTATCTGTACTTCCAATAAATAACAGAAATCAGATATCGTGACTTTCCTAAATTCATTATAATTCTTATCCATAATTTTAAATGTTTACAATCTCCACGATCAGGAACCCAAACAAGTCGGTAGGTATACACAGCTTTTTATAAAATTCCAGCAACAGTATCCCCTTATCTTGTCATTGTATTTTTATCCCATAAAATCCCCCGAACGGTACAATAACCGAGAGTTTACATACAAAATGGGGCGGTCGAGGAGCCTTGTGGCTAAAGCGTTCGCTCGTCACGCGAAAGACCCAGGTTCGATTCCCGACATGGGTACTATGTTTGAAGCCCATTTCTGGTGTCCCCCGCCGTGATATTGCTGGAATATTGCTAAAAGCGACGCAAAACCAAACTCACTCACTCACTCACTCACTCACTCACTCACTCACTTACATACAAAATACCGTTGCAACAAAACGTAACAACGCTGTAATTAGTCGAAGAATGTGTAATATATTGTATATGTGTATGTAGTGAGTTTGCTTTCACGCCGCTTTGAACAGTGTTTCAGTTATATCACGGCGTGTCAGCTTGATGTGGGAGGAGTGAGTGAGTGAGTTGGGTTTAACGCTGATTTGAACAGCATTCCAGTTATATCACGGCGTGTCAGCTTAATGTGGGAGGAGTGAGTGAGTTAGGTTTAACGCTGCTTTGAACAGTATTTCAGTTATATCATGGCGTGTCAGCTTGATGTAGGAGGAGTGAGTGAGTGAGATTGGTTTAACTCACCTTTGAACAGTATTTGAGTTATATGACGACGTTTCAGCTTGACGTGGCAGGAAATCCCAGAAGTGATGCAGATCTCAGATGTTTACCACTGAAACTTTCGATCATAGGTTCCTGGTACGCAAAGGGATGCAACTCTGCACAACGGATTTCGCGCCTTAACCGAGTGGACCACGGAAGGGTTACAAGAACAAAAATGTCCCGCTGATGTCAGCACTGATGGCTTGGAGATACCGTGAAACTATTTTTCTTCCAAAGGATCTCCGAGAGACCTTTTACATCTAGACAATGGCTATGATCTATACAAAACAATAAATCTTACTGCAGTTGCTTTTCTTGAGGGTGAGTTTCGTCCTGTCTTTGAGCAGTGCCGGTTCAAGCTTTCGGAGAAATCTGTCAGCAGCAAGAACCATTCTTTGACGCCGACCGCGACGAGAACCGGGTGCCTGGAAGATTCCAGGACAAACAGATGCTATGGACTTACTAATGGATATTTCGAGGCATTGTAGAATCTTTTTGTTCAGCGCCCCACTAAGCACTTTCCAAGCTATATGGCGGCGGTCTGTAAATTATCGAGTCTGGACCAGACACTCCTTTGTAAAAGGGACTTAACGAACAAACAAATTTAACCTTTAACGACTGTAAAAGCTATTGGAGGTGAGGTGAAGTTGGGTTTAACGTCGCGTCCAAGATTATTGCACTTATATAGCGACGTGCAGGCACGTGTGTGTGTGTTTGTGTGGCTGCTTGTACTAGTCCGGACTGATGCCGATTTATAGTGCTAGCTCACTGAGATACCATGCCGCAGTTTAACATGAATACCCCACTCAGACACAGTATACTGACTCCGAGCCGACTAGTCCTTGTTTTAGCCCCTTAATGCCGAGCGCCAGACAGGGTAACAACAAGTACCATCTTTTAACGTCTTTTGGTATGACGCGGCCGGGGATCGAACCCCGGACCTTCCGCTCACCGGGCGGACGCTCTGCCAAAAGCTATTGGAACAATACAAGTTTCAGTTTCGTGTCTGGATCAGCTGGAGGCAACTGCCATGTTTTTGTCAGGTAATCTACAGCTGATCTACAGGTAATCTACAGCTGATCTACAGGTAATCTACAGGTAATCTACAGCTGATCTACAGGTAATCTACAGCTGATCTACAGGTAATCTACAGCTGATCTACAGGTAATCTACAGCTGATCTACAGGTAATCTACAGCTGATCTACAGGTAATCTACAGCTGATCTACAGGTAATCTACAGCTGATGTGCAGTTTCAATCAAATATGAAGCGGACATAGAGTTGGTCTACAATTGATTTGCATTTGAGTTGCAGATGATCTGTGCTTGTCATAGAGTAGATATAGAACTGATCTTCAAATTTATATACAAATTCATGTACAGCTAATATACAAGTATTCGTCAGTGGATTTGCAAACAAATCAGATAATCAATAATTGATCTACAGGTAATGTACAGCTGACCTACAGGTAATCTACAGCTGACCTACAGGTTTTCCGCAGTTCTTTGTTTGTTTGTTATTTAATGCCGCACTCAGAAATATTCCAACTATATGACGGCGGTCTGCAAATAATCGAGTCTTGGCCATGTGCATCGACCTACACAATTGGGATATGATGCCATGCATTAACCAAGTCAGAGATTCTGACCCCCCGGTTCCGTTAGTCGCCTTTTACGACAAGCATAGTCGCCATTTACGGCAAGCTTGCATTGCTGAAAACCTAGTCTACCCCGAATCTTCACGGGCCTTCCTGCAGTTGATTGACAGGTATAAATATACAGTTAATTTACATCTACATCTTATTATACAGCTGGTCTTCAGGAAATTCACAGCTGATCTATATATAATCTTCAACTGATCAAGAGATAATCTACAGTTGATCTACGGATGATCTACAGGTAATCTACAGCTGACCTACAGGTAATCTACAGGTAATCTACAACTGATCTACAGGTAATCTACAAGTTATCTACAGGTAATGTACAGCTGATCTACAGGTAATCTACAGCTGATCTCAGGTAATCTACAGTTAATCTACAACTGATCTACAGGTAATCTACAAGTTATCTACAGGTAATCTACAGCTGATCTACAGGTAATCTACAGCTGATCTGCAAGTTCATCTATAACTGATCTACAGGTAATCTACAGCTGATCTGCAGGTAATCTATAACTGATCTACAGCTGATCTACAGGTAATCTACAGCTGATCTACAGGTAATCTACAGCTGATCTGCAGGTAATCTACAGCTGATCTATATATAATCTTCAACTGATCAAGAGATAATCTACAGTTAATCTACGGAGGATCAGGAGGATCTAAAGGTAATCTACCGCTGTGACAGCTTGCCCATGCGGAATGTATCTAAATGTGGAGGTAAACTACGCTATACCCACGTCTATGGACATCATTGTCGAAACCGCCTCCAGAACGCCCTGGAATCGATAAATCACAAGTTACAGATCACATTAGGTGAAGTGAAATAGGATAGCACTTTTATAGCTACGCGCGTGCGACTGTGTACCACAGTTTAACATGGATACCCCACTGAGACACAGTATACTGACTCCGAACCCACCAGTCCTCGTTTAACCCCTCAGTGCCTTCCCTGGCAGGGTAACAACAAGTACCATCTTTTAACGTCTTTTGGTGTAACGCGCTAGACGTACTATCCACTAGCCTACGCAGGCGGCCAGAATATACTTAGACCTATATCAATGACTCTATGATAGTACAGGTCATTATCATCATTATCACTTGAACCGTATCTATTAAATGTATTATCAAAAGAAAAGCGACGTATGCTTACCCTTTTACGTATTGGAGAACTGGGAATTATGCATAACACAGGAAGGAGGGATGGCATCGATAAGACACTCCGTTTTTGTCCATTGTGCAAGTTAAGGGCAGTTGAAAATGAAATTCATTTCATTCTTGTTTGCCCTATTTATGAAGATATTCGCTCAAAATATTTCCCATATTTAGACTTCATTACTGGTAATAATCGTAAAGACACACTGGTTTGAATGTTAAACTCTTCTGATGTAAACCGCCTTGAGAACTTAGCCAATTATGTTAAAAATGCTATCTGTCTTCGTTCTTCTTACCTGTAAATATTATTTCATGCAGCACTTGATGTGAAACTAAATTGTATATATCTGTACGTGGGCCTGAGGCCTATTACCGAATAAACTGATTGATTGATTGACTCTATGATAGTTGAATGCAATGGCTTCTTGAAGAGACAGTTTGAGAGACAGCGTTTCATCCTTGTGTGTTTATACATGGAGAAGGGTGTTTAAAAAAGGCCATACAAATTATCGTTTTAAGCAGCACCTCAAATTACTATCATATCAAACAGCCAACAACAACTTTGACTGACCATTGTGAGATTACCAGCACCATTGTCCAGATTTGTGACATCGACGTCTGTTTCAAGGACGGTGAACAGCAACGCCTCCGCCGCTTCAAGGTCAAGGTCGCCTTTCTTGCCCTTCCGCCGAGATGCCCTCTGGCGGAGAAACGCGTGGACTTCTGCCATTGCAGCGGACGCCGTTGACGCGCGTGTTTTCTTTGCCTGGAGAATATATCAGTTACATGCGATTTCAAGACATTTTCAGGACATTTGACTGGTTCTGAGCCTCTCATAGAAGGAATTTCGTAACATATCGTCTTATGGACACAACGTGTTATTACGGGATATAACTTAAACGAGGCAGAATTCGTACAGTGAGTGAGTGAGTGAGTGAGTGAGTATGGTTTTACGCCGCTTTTAGCAATATTCCAGCAATATCACGGCGGGGGACACCAGAAATGGGCTTCACACATTGTACCCATGTCGGGAATCGAACCCGGGTCTCGGGCATGACGAGCGAACGCTTTAACCACTAGGCTACCCGACCGCCCTGAGAATTCGTACAGGCGATGACTCGAGGTCTGGTCGTCCTACAGATGCTACAGGTGCTACATCTGAAACTCGGATACAGGCTGCCCGCTGTATGTTCACGGCTGACTGACGGGTTACAATTCAACATATCACTGACCTTTTGGGTCAGTTTTGTTCTAGTACAGTCCATCTTAACTGTTTGTTGGTTGGTTTGTTGTTTAACGCCGCACTCAGCAATATGCCAGCTATATGACGGCGGTCTGTAAATAATCGAGTCTGGACCAGTCAATCCAGTGATTGACATCATGAGCATCGATCCACGCAATTGGGATCGATGACATGCATCAACCAAGTCAGCGAGTCTGACCACCCGATCCCGTTAGTCACCTCTGACGACAAGCATAGTCGCCTCTTACAGCAAGCATGGTTCTGAAGACCTATTCTACACCGAATCACACTGCACTGCACTGCACTGCACTGCACTGCACTGCACTGCACTGCACTGCACTGACACATTCCGCTTGGGCAGGCTGTCCACAAGAAGGGTACCAAGAATGACACCAGGTCAGAAGCTGACCCGACTGAACACATACAAGACTTCTGACCCGTTATCAGCGAATCGTGATAAGGTTGAGACGCCAGTGACACTTGGAGCCATCACTTTTATAAACTTCAGAGCAACAGTGGAAACATGTGGCCTCACAACACCAAAAAAGTAAAATCGGGTGACGTCAAGTTAGGACTCCTGTGTTCTGGGACAGTGAAGGGGTAATATGGCCCGTCTATTTGCTGGCGAGGTCGGACTATCAGTGTCAGATAAGCGAATCTGTCAAGGAATCACACCGAGGAAAGCTGGTATCACGCGTGGTACTGCCTCAAGGCAATGCGCCTGATCACGCGTCCTGAGTGGCTGGCTACAGCTGCCGATTGTGGTTTTAACTTATTTGCCACGCCCCTTGCCACGCCCCTTACTCTCTTGACCTTGACCTCTACAGGTAACAGGAGATCGCTGCCGTCGAGACCTTCTAACATCGATATTCCCCTTTCTGTTGTAACACAGAGTGAGCGAGTTGGGTTTAACGCCGTTTTTAACATTATTCAAGTCATATCACGGCGTGTCAGCTTAATGTGGGACGAAATCCCGAAATGATGCAGGTCTCAGGCGTTTACCACTTCGGTTAAACCCACGAGCACGGGTATGGTGCTGACAAACCTAGAAACATAATTGGGGCGAACCGGGATTCGAACCCACAATCACAGGTTTCTGGCGTGCCCAAGGGACGCAACTCTGCACAGCGAATGGTGGCGCCTTAGACGACTGGGTCACCCGTGCCCCCCGAGACCAAAGATGAAGACTTCATAGAAACAGAGCTAGAGCATCGCTCGACCAAGACTTAGTGCATATAAGTTAAAGGATATTGGACAGACAAATAATGTGTGAACATTTTTTATACGAAATGAGTCTCGATGTCGCCACGGCACTTTTCTCATACTCACTATATACCACGCTAATCACCTTTTTAACCTCTTCTCCGTCTTCCTCTTTGTTTTTCTTCTTCTGCAAACCTGAGGACCCCTTCTTCTTTGCGCAATCTTAAAGTGATTTGTATCACAGTAGTTAAAACATGAGTCAATGTTTGACCAGACAGCACGATACATTCAATGTCATACTCAGTCGGCATGCTTGTGAACTGAAACTTCAAGGTTTATTGGTTGGAGTTTAAATAAAATCATATAAATAAATTGCAAGTGATTCCGCGGCACTTGATTGGCCGAGCAAGCAAATATTTTTGTGGGTTTTTTTATTTTTCCATTAACTCCAAAACATGAGGCCACGCCCACTAACTGATGCTTCCGGGGCGTGTTGCAGGATTGCGTTAAACAAATTCAGATTCATCTGTTAACTGAAAACCACCCTCGGTGAAAAAAGAGTACACTATATAACTAACAATAGATAATATACATAGAACAATTGAAGACATTATATACACACACTGCATGTATAAAATAAGTGAGGTGAAATAGGGGTTAACGTCGCGTCCAAGATTATTGCACTTATATAGCGACGTGCATGCACGTGTGTGTTTGTGTGGCTGCTTGTACTAGTCCGGACTGATGCCGATTTATAGTGCTAGCTCACTGAGATACCATGTCGCAGTTTAACATGAAAACCCCACTCAGACACAGTATACTGACTCCGAGCCGACCAGTCCTTGCTTTAGCCCCTTAATGCCGAGCGCCAGACAGGGTAACAACAAGTACCATCTTTTAACGCCTTTTGGTATGACGCGGTCGGGGATCGAACCCCGGACTTTCGGCTCTCCGGGCGGACGCTCTACCACTAGACCACGGAGGCGGTCATGTAGAAAATAACATTAGGATGAAGACTTTTAGAACTCATTATATTGGTAAATTTACATACATTTCTCAAGTGATCAGTGCTCTTGTTGGAAAATAGTCCCGATGTCCCTTGTTTCCTACTATTGTCTCATGTTCATAATTCTTTGTTTTGTTTTGTGCTAACGGTTAAGTAAGGAGTATATTAAGTTATTATTATTGGCGTATTTATTAATAGAATTGACTTCAATGTTTGTTCAGTGTATACAGAGTTTGAAACGTCCAAACCGGTCTGCGCAGAATTTCACAGTCCGCGTGTTGATACCTCCATAAACAAATTACATATTGGAGTCAATTCTTATTTAGAAAGACCCGTGAAGATTCCGGGGTAGAATAGGTCTTCAGCCACCCATGCTTGTCTTAAAAGGCGACTCACGGGATCGGGTGGTCAGGCTCTCTGACTTGGTTGATGCATGTCATCGTATCCCTATTGCGTGGATCGATGCTCATGATGTCAATGACTGGATTGTCTGGTCCAGACTCGATTTTTTACAGACCGCCTTCATATAGTGCAATATTGCCGAGTACGGCGTTAAACAACAGACTCCCAAACAAAATCTTAAAAAGAAAAAAAATACATACTTCGGAACGCCTCTTCTTCACAACAACTGCACGTCTTGTCGGCGACATCGTCCTCATCCGAGGGGGGCGTGGCCCTGGCGTTTGAGCTGACGTCAACAATGGGAGGCGTGACGTCAGGAGAGGTATAACTTCCGTCAGAAGGAACGGCGTCAAGACCGCGCGCTGTTTCTGCTGGTCTCTGCGGGGTTCTGTTGATAACACTGTCAGTATCTGTGTGATCTGCAAGGAAACAACTATCTTTATATGATCTTCATTGAGGTAGTGGGCCGCCTCCGTGGTCTAGAGGATAGAGCGTCTGCCCGGAAAACGAAAGGTCGATGGTTCGATTCCTGACATTAAAAAATGGTATTCCGTTATAGATTCCGAGCTTGCTACCATTTCAACCTCTAAGGTATCAGCTGAGATGGATCAATTTTAGAAGTCACGGTAGTAGAAAGAGCGTTTGTCGGGAGAGCGGGTGGTCTGTGGTACGATCCACGGCCACGTCATACCTAAAGACGTTAATAAAAGATGGAGCGCGTTGATTCCCAGCCTGGCTCTCGACGTAAGAGGATGAAACAAGGGCTGGTCGGCTGTGTCTGAGTGGGGTATCCATGTTAGACACCGGCAAGATGTCTCTGTGGGCAAGCACTATAAAACCGGCAGGTCGCTATGGAGGTGAAATAATTTTATACCCGACCTTAACCCTAGTTTCCCTCACCTCACCCGTTTGGAGTCTAGTCTATTCAGTAAACCAGTGGTTGAGAGCATGAACAACGTCAGGCAGGGTAACAACATGTACCATCTTTTATACCTCTTTTAGTATTGAGGCGGCCAGCAGATCCAACTACTGACCTTCCGCTCTCCGGGGAGACGCTCTGGCTACTAGACTGTGGAGGCGGTCTCCGGCGAGACGCTCTATCCACTACACCACGGAGGCGGTCTCCGGACAAACGCTCTATCCACTAGACCACGGAGGCGGTCTCTAGGCAGACGCTCTATCCACTAGACCAAGGAGGCGGTATCCCGGCAGACGCTCTATCCACTACACCACGGAGGCGGTCTCCGGACAGAGGCTCCATCCACTACACCACGGAGGCGGCCTCCCGGCAGACGCTCTATCCACTAGACCACGGAGGCGGTCTCCAGGCAGACGCTCTATCCACTAGACAACGGAGGCGTCTCTGGGCAGGGGCTCTATCCACTAGACCACGGAGGCAGTCTCCAGACAGATGCTCTATCCACTAGACCACGGAAGCGGTCTCCGGCCAAAAGTTCTATCCACTAGACCACGCTGGCAGTTTGACTTTAAACAGACCATCGAAAGCTAAGTGTAGTTATATTGAAATACTGACTACAAGGTAAGTCAACATTCGGATGTTTTTTTGAGACAGAATATTATTCCGGTCTTTGCTTCAAGACATTTTGTTCCTCTGAAAACAATTCTGTCAAAAACATTTTGAGGAAGGCACAAAACCTGTGCAAGACATAAAGTTAACACGTTTTTGGTGTACACCCAGAGGCAAAAGAGTCCATTAGAGCCTTTCGATATCGCTCCAAGTTGAGTTTCCGACAAAATCAGGATTAACAGTCAATCAAATCAAACGGAATACGTCAACGCCATATTAACGCAGCAATATTACACATACTTACCCACAATGCATCCCTTCAGGAGAAACCGGAAGCAACAGTTGATGTTCTTGGATATGGCTATCTGAAAGAGGCCGCTCTCAAGGGCAGGATACGGGCGGCTCGTAAATGAATTGGTGCCGTTCACTCTCTGGGGAAAGCATATATGTCAGTTTACGTCCAGGGGATGGGAAATACAGACATGTATATAATGGCCCGTCGTCAAGCAATATAAGGGCATTATCAAGTTACAGTGGCCCGCTCGTTTCTGATAACGTGCGGGCGGTTTAATGATAATTCTATCCATTTTAGCTATAATATATATTATAGCTAAAATGGATAGAATTATCATTACCAAATGCGGGCGGTTTAATGATAATTCTATCCATTTTAGCTATAATATATATTATAGCTAAAATGGATAGAATTATCATTAAACCGCCCGCACGTTATCAGAAACGAGCGGGCCACTGTATCTATATTATAGCTAAAATGGATAGAATTATCATTAAACCGCCCGCACGTTATCAGAAACGAGCGGGCCACTGTATCTATATTATAGCTAAAATGGATAGAATTATCATTAAAACGCCCGCATGTTATCAGGAATGCGCGGGCCACTGTAGCTTGATAATGCCCTCATATTACTTGACGACGGGCCATTATCACGCCCGTTGTTAGGTGACGTCATAGGATAAGGATACGTGACGTCACGTTCAACAGTGAAGTCATCTGGTTTGTTCTATGACGTTTCCATATTTGTAAAAGTGGGTCAGTGAAATTCGTGTTAATAGCAGTAAATGTTTCCAAACCGATAATGTTGTTTCTTTTTATTTGATAACAAATTCCATCCATTTTAGTTATAATAACGGTAACGCTATTTTTCAGGTCATTATCATTTACAGAAGCCCTCGGTCTTTTCAACTGCCCTCCTTCGTCGGGCAGTTAATGGAAGACCTCGGGCTTCTGCAAATGATAATGCCCTGAAAAATAGTGTTACCCTTATAGTAAACTCACGCCCAGTTCTATGGAATCTGTCCTATTGGCATCCAGCCATAATCTGTCGACACGACAACTTCTTCCACCACTGGATTCACCTACGGAAAACAAACACAGTGATGAAGATGGGGATGAGAGAGAGTGATACAGATAGGGCAACCAAAATGCCAGGAGCGTGTTCCTTGCACGGCTAAGGGACGTAACTCTTCCCACTGGGTGCCTCAGCCCCTTGACTCTGTGGTTTGTTGTTTAACGCCACATTCAGCAATATTCCAGCTTTATGACGGCGGTGTGTAAATTTTTGAGTCTGGGCAGAAAATCCAGTGATTGACATCGTAAGCATCGATCCACGAAATTGGGATCGATGACATGCATCAACCAAGTCAGCGAGCCTGACCACCCGATCCCGTCAGTCACCTCTTACGACAAGCATAGTCGCCTTTTACGACAAGCATGGGTTGCTGAAGACCGAATCTTCACGGGTGTGGTAATACCAAGTAACAGAATAAAGATACGTTGACGACAAACATCCTACGCAAGAACGTTTAGGTCTGTAAAAGTTAACACCAAACCCCTTCAAAACACTTTCAAAGAAAGTCGATAGACTCTGCGGACCATTATTTCTGTCAATCTCATTGATTCTTCTTATCATACAGTTGTGATTTTACTCATGGTTTGTGAATAAACAAGCTATGCGGCGTCCTCAACGCACAGAACGTCTGCGGGCTATTCGTAACTGAAAATCTCAGATACGATATGACGTCATAATATTCTGAATTGAACTATCTCCGATAGAATGTGACGTTATCATGTTCTGATTTTAACAATCTCTGACGCGATATAACGTTATCATATTCTAAACTGATACGATACGACGCTATCAAATTCTAAACTGAAATCTCCGATACTATACGTCATAATATTCTTAATTGATCAATCTCAGATAGAATGGGACGTTATCATATTCTGAATTGAAACAATCTCCGATACGATATGATGCAGTCATATTCTAAACTGAACACTCTCTAAAAGCATAAAACGTTATCATATTCTGAATTGAACAACCTCCGATATAATACGACGTTATTATACTCGAATTGGACAATCTCTGACACGATACAACGTTATCATATTCTAAACTGAACAATCTCTGAAAGGATATGACGTAACCATTTTCTGATTTGTACAATCTCCGATACTACTAAAGTCTGAATTCTGACATTTTTGAGTGAAACTGTTTTTATTCAGTTAGTCAATAAGTCCTATGGCGAAAATGTTCATGTGCATTTTGACCAATAAGCCTTCTATAAGCACTAAAACTTTGGAGAAATGCAATATTCGCGCTCAAAATATAATACACCACGGGTTTTAACCAAATAAACACCGTTATCAAACCGCAAATCATTATAACATTTTTATTAATGATATCCTCTTATTTTTTTATGTTTCGTTTAAAGGTTCTGGTATATGCATAAAAGCGCCTGAGAAGTAAATAAATAAAAGCATTTCCTTAAAATTAATCTGCATTACATAAACATGAGACCCATCCACAGACTGACAATATGAACATCGTGTACAACGTTACACATTCCTCGTTATACCGCGTTTCTCACCGTGTATCTCAATGTAGCTGAGGTTGACGGTATAACGAAGGGCCATGTCCAGACATTGGCGGGTGTCGGTGTCATCCGGGCACCAGGTGTCATGGTTTCTTCCTGGTCCTGTGTTGACTGACACTGAACCGGAAGTGGAAGAGTAGACTGCACTTGATGTGTCGATGGGGCGTGCGCATGATACTGAAACACACATTTCATATTCTTGATATTTATGGAATCGTTAAGAAGACGCCACTGTGATATACATCTAATTTATCAAACACACATTGCACAGAAGACGTTGTCATGATATATCCTATAATTATCACACACACATCACACAGAAGACGTTATCATGATATATCCTACCATTTATCGAACACGCATTACACAAAATACGTTATCATGATATATCCTTCCATTTATGGAACACACATTACACAAAAGACGTTATCATGATATATCATACTATTTTATAACACATACATCACATAGAAAACGTTATCATGATATATCCTACCATTTATCGAACACACATTACACAAAAGACGTTATCATGATATATCCTTCTATTTTATAACCCATACATCACATAGAAAACGTTATCATGATATATCCTACCATTTATCGAACACACATTACACAAAATACGTTATCATGATATATCCTTCCATTTATGGAACACACATTACACAAAAGACGTTATCATGATATATCATACTATTTTATAACACATACATCACATAGAAAACGTTATCATGATATATTCTACCATTTATCGAACACACATTACACAAAAGACGTTATCATGATATATCCTATAATTATAACACACGCACTACACGGAAGACGTTATCATGATATATCCTAACATTTATAACACACATATCACACAGAAGACGTTATCGTGATATATCCTATGATTATCACACAAACATTACACAGAAGAGGTTATCGTGATATATCCTATAATTATCATACATAAATTACAAAGAAGACGTTATCGTGACATATCCTACCATTCATCAAACACACATTACACAGACAACGTTATCATGATATATCCTATAATTATCACACACAAATTACACAGAAGACGTTGTCATGATATATCCTACCATTTATAACACACATGTCACACAGAAGACGTTGTCATGATATATCCTACCATTTATAATACACATATCACACAGAAGACGTTATCATGATATATCCTATGATAATCACACAAACATTACACAGAAGACGTTATCATGATATACCCTACCATTTATAACACACATATCACACAGAAGACGTTATCATGATATACCCAATGAAAATCACACAAACATTACACAGAAGACGTTATCATGATATACCCTACCATTTATAACACACATATCACACAGAAGACGTTATCGTGATATATCCTATGATTATCACACAAACATTACACAGAAGAGGTTATCGTGATGTATCCTATAATTATCACACATAAATTACAAAGAAGACGTTGTCATGATATATCCTACCATTTTTTACACACATATCACACAGAAGACGTTTTCATGATATATCCTATAATTATCATACACACATTACACAGAAGACGTTATCGTGACATATCCTACCATTCATCAAACACACATTACACAGACAACGTTATCATGATATATGCTACCATGCATAACACACACATCACACAGAAGACGTTATCATGATATATCCCTTAATTATCACACACAAATTACACAGAAGACGTTGTCATGATATATCCTACCATTTATAACACACATGTCACACAGAAGACGTTGTCATGATATATCCTACCATTTATAATACACATATCACACAGAAGACGTTATCATGATATATCCTATGATAATCACACAAACATTACACAGAAGAGGTTATCGTGATATATCCTATAATTATCACACACAAATTACACAGAAGACGTTATCATGATATATCCTACCATTCATCAAACACACATTACACAGACAACGTTATCATGATATATCCTACCATTTATTGAACACACATTACACAAAAGACGTTATCATGATATATCCTATAATTATCACACACGCACTACACGGAAGACGTTATCATGATATATCCTTCCATTTATAACACACATATCACACAGAAGACGTTATCGTGATATATCCTATGATTATCACACAAACATTACACAGAAGAGGTTATCGTGATATATCCTATAATTATCACACATAAATTACAAAGAAGACGTTGTCATGATATATCCTACCATTTTTTACACACATATCACACAGAAGACGTTGTCATGATATATCCTATAATTATCATACACACATTACACAGAAGACGTTATCGTGACATATCCTACCATTCATCAAACACACATTACACAGACAACGTTATCATGATATATCCTACCATGTATAACACACACATCACACAGAAGACGTTATCATGATATATCCTATAATTATCACACACAAATTACACAGAAGACGTTGTCATGATATATCCTACCATTTATAACACACATGTCACACAGAAGACGTTGTCATGATATATCCTACCATTTATAATACACATATCACACAGAAGACTTTTTCATCATATATCCTATAATTATCATACACACATTACACAGAAGACGTTATCGTGACATATCCTACCATTCATCAAACACACATTACACAGACAACGTTATCATGATATATCCTACCATGTA